GCTTAAAACATGTTTTTTTGTTTTTAATTCCATGCCTTAGGAGTTGGTTGGCACTTTAATTGGAAATCTGTAGAGTGATTGTTTCTGTGCAATGGTTCGTATCCCAGCCATCACCTGAGTAACATTTCTCCCTGGTGATAAATGTCTGTCTTGGCCAAAGCTGTGCTAGCTTGTCAGTGGAAACATTTAACTCAAGAAAATATGTAATATATTTTACATCATTGTAATTAATTAGCATTGCACATTTCTGGAGACTTAAAAAAAATAAGGACCCAGAGTGATTACCAAATGAAAATAGGTTACCCTCAGACTGACTCAATGCTTACAGTCAGGCCTACAATTGAAGTCGGAAGTTTACATACACTTAGTCATTAAAACTCGTTTTTCAACCATTCCACAAATGTCTTGTTAACAAACTATAGTTTTGGCAAGTCGGTTAGGACATCTACTTTGTGCATGACACAAGTAATTTTTCCAACAATTGTTTACAGACTCACTTATAATTCACTGTATCACAATTCCAGTGGGTCAGAAGTTTACATACACTAAGTTGACTGTGCCTTTAAACAGCTTGGAAAATTCCAGAAAACGATGTCATGGCTTTAGAAGCTTCTGATAGGCTAATTGACATAATTTGAGTCAATTGGAGGTGTACCTGTGGATGTATTTCAAGGCCTACCTTCAAACTCAGTGCCTCTTTGCTTGACATCATGGGAAAATCAAAAGAAATCAGCCAAGACCTCATAAAATAAATTGTAGACCTCGACAAGTCTGGTTCATCCTTGTGAGCTATTGTGAGCCATGGGACCACGCAGCCGTCATACCGCTCAGGAAGGAGATGCGTTCTGTCTCCTAGAGATGAACGTACTTTGGTGCAAAAAGTGCAAATCAATCCCAGAACAACAGCAAAGGACCTTGTGAAGATGCTGGAGGAAACAGGTACAAAAGTATCTATATCCACAGTAAAACAAGTCCTATATCGACATAACCTGAAAGGCCGCTCAGCAAGGAAGAAGCCACTGCTCCAAAACCGCCATAAAAAAGCCAGACTACAGTTTGCAACTGCACATGGGGACAAAGAAAGGTATTTTTTGGAGAAATGTCCTCTGGTCTGATGAAACAAAAATAGAACTGTTTGGCCATAATGACCATCGTTATGTTTGGAGGAAAAAGGGGAAGGCTTGCAAGCCGAAGAACACCATCCCAACCGTGAAGCACGGGGGTGGCAGCATCATGCTGTGGGGGTGCTTTGCTGCAGGAGGGACTGGTGCACTTCACAAAATAGATGGCATCATGAGGAAGGAAAATGATGTGGATATATTGAAGCAACATCTCAAGACATCAGTCAGGAAGTTAAAGCTTGGTCGCAAATGGGTCTTCCAAATGGACAATGACCCCAAGCATACTTCCAAAGTTGTGGCAAAATGGCTTAAGGACAACAAAGTCAAGGTATTGGAGTGGCCATCACAAAGCCCTGACCTCAATCCTATAGAAAATGTGTGGGCAGAACTGAAAAAGCGTGTGCGAGCAAGGAGGCCTACAAACCTGACTCAGTTACACCAGCTCTGTCAGGAGGAAGGGGCCAAAATTCACCCAACTTATTGTGGGAAGCTTGTGGAAGGTTACCCGAAACGTTTGACCCAAGTTAAACAATGTAAAGGCAATGCTACCAAATACTAATTGAGTGTATGTAAACTTCTGACCCACTGGGAATGTGATTAAATAAATAAAAGCTGAAATATATCATTCTCTCTACTATTATTCGGACATTTCACATTCTTAAAATAAAGTGGTGATCCTAACTCTGAATCCGAATTTTTACTAGGATTAAATGTCAGGAATTGTGAAAAACGTAGTTTAAATGTATTTGGCTAAGGTGTATGTAAACTTCTGACTTCAACTGTATGTTTGACACCCCTGGTCTAGTTCCTCGTCATGAGAAACAGTGTGTGTGTGTGTGTGTGTGTGTGTGTGTGTGTGTGTGTGTGTGTGTGTCTATTGACAAGCGACCTGGTCAATATTTTATTAGTGGAAGGAAAATACAATGTAAGCACACAGATGGCATTGTCTTACGTCAGATAGCACGACTATTCCGCTTGTACAGATTGAGGGACGAGCGTTGCGAAGGAGTGACAACACCTAATGTAAGACAATGCACTAATGGAGAAACTGTTTCCTCAAAATGAGTCATGAACTGATTAAACCCCTGTTTCTCTCCACAACAGCAGTTTGGTGAATTTCCTCATTCTCACAATAGCCATGATATTTTCCCATCAGTAATAATAGTAGTGAATAGCATGTGTGAACAGCTCACAGCACAGTGAGTCACAACAGAAGTATTACAGTAGAAAGACTTTAAAACTCCCCCAAAAGATGAAGGTTTATCAGTACCACTACCAAAACTGTGACAAAACAACTTTCCTACATATTATCCATCATCAAATCATGTTTTATCTGTAAAGGTTTGTCTACAACATTTTAAACATTTGGGGAGATACATTAGTCTGTGATAGTGTATCACATTTCATTCTGGTACTCTGATTCCATTTGTTTAGGCTGTTTTGTTACTTTCATCACCACTTCCTGTCTCTGCGTTGCTACTTCCTGTCTCTGTGTTGCTATTGTGTCATACTGTGCATTATATAACCCATCTCACGTCTTGATTCGAAAACTGCAATTATTAATTGCCTGTATCCACACCACAATTCCATGTACACTGAAGAAAATAAAAAAAACTACCTTGGCAGCTCATGAACACATAGCAGGGCACTGAACCTGTCCGAAAAACAACGATCTGAAATTATAACAATAATACACAAGCCATCTGCTCTCACATTGCTGCACACAGTATGAATATAAAGTAGAGAGTGGCAATGGCAAAACATATTATACTCTTCTATTCTATTGATTTTAGATATATTATTTATGTTTTTGTATTATAAAGAGGTATTTTTATTAAGAATGCATATACAGCTCTGGAAAAAATTAAGAGACCACTGCAAATGTTTCTTAAATCAGCATCTCTACATGTATGACAGCCATTTCATTCCAGTGTCTGTTGAATTCCAACACAGGCACACCTCATTCTACTGAATTAGGTACTGATTAGGTGATCACCTGAACCAAATCTTATTTAACGAGGAAATGTATAAAAACCACTGCTGTGGTCATCACTATCCTCTTGCAATAGGACCAGCTGGATGGCAAAAACAGTGCTAATAGTACCTCAAAAGTAATATTAATCAAAAAATAACTATTGACCATGCCAAAAGAGTTGAAAAGGAACGTTTTGAGTGAGAAAAATAAGGGTTCAATTCTGGCTTTACTGGCAGAGGGATACAGTGAGCGTCAGGTTGCTTCCATTATTAAAATTTCAATGACGGCGGTTCATAAGAACAAGTTCAAGCAGCAGACATTGGGGACAACAAAGCTACAGACCGGCAGAGGGTGAAAACGACTCTCTACTGATCGAATGTCACTCAACAACCGTAGGATGACATCAAGTGACCTACAAAAATCATGGCAAACGGCAGCTGGGGTGAAGTGCACAGCGAGGATGGTTCGAAACAGGCTCCTATGGGCAGGGCTAAAGTCGTGCAAAGCTAGAAAAAAGCCCTTCATCAATGAGAAGCAAAGAAGAGCCAGGCTGAGGTTTGCAAAAGACCATAAGGATTGGACCGTAGAGGACTGGAGTAAGGTCATCTTCTCTGATGAGTCCAATTTTCAACTTTGCCCAACACCTGGTCATCTAATGGTTAGACGGAGACCTGGAGAGGCCTACAAGCCACAGTGTCTCGCACCCACTGTGAAATTTGGTGGAGGATCGGTGATGATCTGGGGGTGCTTCAGCAAGGCTGGAATCGGGCAAATTTATATTTGTGAAGGACACATGAATCAAGCCATGTACAAGGTTGTCCTGGAAGAAAACTTGCTTCCTTTTGCTCTGACATTGTTCCCCAACTCTGAGGATTGGTTTTTCCAGCAGGACAATGCGCCATTGAAAACTTCTGGAATGTGATCAAGAGGAAGATGGATGGTCACAAGCCATCAAACAAAGCCGAGCTGCTTGAATTTTTGCGCCAGGAGTGGCATAAAGTCACCCAACATCAATGTGAAAGACTGGTGGAGAGCATGCCAAGACGCATGAAAGCTGTGATTGAAAATCTGGGTTATTCCACTAAATATTGATTTCTGAAGTCTTCCTAAGTTAAAACATTAGTATTGTGTTGTTTAAAAATGAACATTAACTTATTTTCTTTGCATTATTCGAGGTCTGACAACACTGCATCTTTTGTTATTTTGACCAGTTGCCATTTTCTGCAAATAAATGCTCTAAATGACAATATTTTTATTTGGAATTTGGGAGAAATTTGGTCAGTAGTTTATAGAATAAAACAAACATGTTATTTCTACCCAAACAAATACCTATAAATAGTAAAACCAGAGAAACTGATAATTTTGCAGTGGTCTCTTAATTTTTTCCAGAGCTATATATTTATTCTCTGGACATTAATGTTCTTCAATGAACATGACCCATAGAGCATCTACTTCACTACCGTACTAGATAGTTAGCCGTGACCCACCATTATTGCACACTGTGCCGATAATACATAACTAATCTTGATACATAGGCCTTAGGGAACTAATATAGACATATGTACATGCATACTGTAAGAATATTGCTCCTCAAATACATTACTTTTACCCATCTAATACATTCAAGGGTCTAAAATGATTTATTAAAAAGATACAATTTGCATCAACAATCAATTGCCTCCGGTTTTATGTTATCAGAGGCAACATAAGCGACCTAGTTCCTGAAACACTTGGCAAGAACACATTTGGCAAAGCAAATACAGTAGGAAGATCAATGTTTCCCTAAAGTGGAAAACACAAAACTTGACACAACACAGATCTTTACAGTAGCTTGGACAGTTTTTCAAGAGATGCTTTCAACTGAAAGAAACTACAAATCCCTCCAGCTCAGAGCAACGAGCCAATCACAGGCCCGGAGATTGCAGGGTGAGGATCTCAGCGGCCAGTCTCTGTGGGTCCATGAGCTGGGGGAACATGTCCATGACCTTGTCCACCAGACGGCCGTTAAAGATGGCCAGCAGCTTCTTCCTGACATCCTCCCTCTCCTTGCCGTCCTCCCTCTCCCTGCCCTCCCCATGGGGGCTCGGCTGTGTCCGGGCAGGGGACCAGTGTCTCTGTTGCTCCACCTGAGCAACGCTATGGAGAGTCTGAGGATAAGTCCTGAACGGGTCCGACCAGTAGGTCTGCTGTGGAGGGTAGAACCTGCCCTGTTGTTGGAAGTCATTGGGGTGGCTGTCCTGATGCATACTAACTGGATACATTGGTGCCCCATAGTTGGGGTAACAGGGGGGGCAGTAGGTCATCATGTCTGGGTTGTGGGTGTTGTTGTGGGTGCTGGCTGGGCCCATGCTATGGTGTGGGCTGTGGTGTTGTTGGTATCCTGCGCTGGGGCCCAGTGAAGGTTGAGCATGGGAGCAACAGCTACAAGGCAGGTTGCTAGGGAGAGAATAGCGTTGTTGTCTCGTACTGGGGGCGGACTGTGACTGGCAGTTCCTGTACCCAGCGTTGTCATAGCGATCACAGTGGTTTCTAGAGGGGTCAGACGCCTGGCTCTCAAAGGAGCCCAGCCCAGAATCTAGCTTCTCTTGAGAGCCACTGGGCAGGGCCGAGTCCAGGTCGGTCGGGGAATGTCGGTTGGTGCTGGCCTTCTTAGCTGGGGACCTCCAGCTGGAGCGATGGCCTCCCTTGAGAAGAAGAACATTCTCACTGGTGAGGCCTTTCTTCAAGGAGCCATTCCACTGTTCTAGGGTCAGTTTCTGAGCCATCTCCTCCTCCAGGGAAAGGCCATTGGCAGGTCCAGAACCTGTGGTGGGGTGTTTCTGTTGTGACAAGGGTAGCTTGGCCTTCTCCCGCAGCTCGTCAGCCAAAGAGCGATTGGATTGGTTGGCTCGCTCTGGGTGGTAGAATTTACACTTTATCCCATAAGTGCATTTCCTTCCTGGATTCATGAAATATAAACAAGAGTTAATTAGTACCGTTGAGTTTTTTGCACATACAGTACAGTACATTTATTACATCCATTACAGTATTTGTGTCCGTTTGTTAATAATTATTTGCAAATGTTCCCCCCACCCATCTGTAAGGTCAACCACAGGATGACCCCAGTAGAGATGTGATCTCACCATAAGGACATGGCTGTTTCCGTGGTAACCGAGGAACCTTCCGTAGAAAGTTATCTAGTGTGGGACCATGGCGACCCAGGGGGTCATCAGGGGGCATGAACCTGAGAGAGGGGGAGTAGAGTTTAGATTCATACTACACTGTGGCTAATGTATACTAAACAATAATGCATAATTAGCATATATTAAGTTATAAACATTCAGAAGCATTTATAATGGCTTATTCATTAAAGTTATAGAACTGTAACAATTGCATTATTAGTTAAAACATTAGTTATTTATCCATTGTGTTTATTTCATGGTTAATAATAAGCTCCCACAAGACTTACTTGTCATTGACGAACGAGTACATGAGCAGCCTCTCCTCGATGAAGCGCTTCCACTCCTGTCTCTCGCCCTGAAGGTCGCGGTATGTGTCGTTGGATACGATGATACCGCCTGACTCGTACGCCAGCTTGACGATGAAGCGATCGTCGTAGCAGACCACACGTTTGCCCGCTACACGCCGCGAAGGGGTGAACACCATGATCTTCTTTCTCTCCAGCTCGCGCAAAATGTGTTGATCTTTAGAGTAGAGAAAAAGATTAACGTTAGATAGCCATTCAATTAGTTAATCATCAATTAAGTATTAATTAAGAGATCAATCATGCATTCACTTACTAATTAACTTGGTGCCTCCTGATCTTTATGTTAAATAATTTTTTCCAGGCAACAGATTTCACACCTTCTTCACAACACTTTTACTTCATCTCTCCTGGGGGCAACATGTTGTCATCGTTTGTTGCCAAACTTTATTGGAACTCGAGCAACTAAGATGCTCTGATAGTGTGTCGGGTATAGCGTGTATGCTCAACGTTTATATGATATTTGGCACACACATATTAAAAGGACAACGTTTAATTGAGGAGCCTCAGATATTTTACATCTTTCAATTAAACTCAATTGAACACTTTCCATCTATATGTTTGTGACAAACATCATATAAACATATGAGCATACACTATATAGCTGGCGTTTGGCATAAATTGGCAATTAAAGTTACTGTAAGTCAGCCAAGCCAAGCCTTCTGTCATCACAGCAGCAGCTCCGTGAGAAGAGCATTTTTATGTGCTACTGCAGGAAGTAATAAAGACGTTGAGAAAAGTCCCTAATTTAATCAGATGAATAAGAGGTGGTTTGGAGATAAAGTTCAGCACAAGTTGCAATTTGGAAACAGAATAAATACTGTATCCGTGTCAGGTTTTCCCCTCCCGCTCTCTACACTGCTCTCACCAAGAGTTGGGGAGTTGCACCACGTTGAAACCTGACCCGTTTTCGTGCCTCAAGTTGTTTGCCTCTGCCTCAAATACCGTAACTGGCCAAGGCCAAATGGCAAACTGTTTCTTGCTCACACATGAAAATGTTGTATCTTTCCTGACCAAAGAGACACACTCCCTACTCAAACATTGTGATTGTATGCACATTTCCTGCAGTCAAAATATCACATAAGGTATTATATAATGTGCCATCTCTGATTAAAAAAGCATATAAACTCAAAATTTCATTGAGTGCCTAAAACAACATGTCCACCCCATTATATGTATTGAGGAGGAAATCTACTGGATTACATAGGCTACAATGAGGGCTGTGGTGTGATACAGAAAAGGAAGTAGACGTTGGGCCCTGTGTGGTGTATTCCCGACATCTTACCTGTGATGGGGACATCTGGTCTGGGCTGCTCCTTCCTCCATGAGGGAACAAACACAGTGATATCAGTATGACCCCTGTCCAGGAAGAAGTTCACCGCCAGCTGGATTCCCAGGCAGGAAAATACTTCCTTGTTCCCGTGGCTACAACAGAGAGGCAATAAAAATAGATATTGTTGAGCAAGCAAGCTAATCAAACCCTTCTTTGTACACTACACTTCCTTGTTCCCGTGGATACAACAGAGGGGCAATATAAATAAAGATTGTTGAGCAAGCAAGCAAATCATGTTCGCAATGACTTATTTGTGTGGTCAGGGTAAGTGGCACCCTATTCCCTACATAGTGCCTATGACTCTGGTCAAAATAAGTGCACTATATAGGGAATAGGGCGCGAATTGTGACGCAGCCTGTACCTCAAGAGCAATTAACAGCATTGTTTGAAAGTGTGCCCGCAATCACATTTACATTTTAGTCATTTAGCAGACGCTCTTATCCAGAGCGACTTACAGGAGCAATTAGGGTTAAGTGCCTTGCTTAAGGGCACATCGACAGATTTTTCACCTAGTCGGCTCGGGGATTAGAACCAGCGACCTTTCGGTTACTGGCACAACGCTCTTACCCACTAAGCTACCTGCCGCCCCGCAATGACTAGAACAGTTATTTTTTAGGTGAACACACTTAAATATACACAATTACAGCATTTGCATTGCAAATGAAAACTGTGTATACACAAATAAAATGTGCACTTGTCTCATGGTAGGCTAACCACCAACTAGGTACACTACTACTACTACTACTACTACTACTACTAGAATCTGGATAGTAGGTCCTAAACCAAATGTCTAGGGGTAAAATGGATTTCACTGGTAATGTTGTGTCATTTATAGGCTTTAAAAAGGTAGACTCAGCAAAATGACGTTGCCACAAGCAGCACCACAGATATTGAGATTAGCAAGATGTAAGACTTCGCTCTCACACAGTATCTGCACATGTGCACAGATTCACTTCAAGCTGTTACAGCGTGGTAGCACAGAATTTCTAAACCCAGAAGCGCAACATAGCGAGACTTCCAAGTACGCTTGCGAAGGAGACCAAGCAGACCAGGCCGGGGTTTGAGAAGTCAATGACAGAAGTGAAAAATTATTCCTTAGTTGTTAATTTTCTTGAAATCTAAAGGCACAACCTAGATTCAAGCCAATGCCTTAAGTATTTGAACATGTTATTACTCCAACCTCGTGAAATTGACAAACTTTTAGTCATAAACAACTTTATATCAAAGGAGTGCCTTTGATTTGACGGCCTGCACATGCGTAGTTCGGCGCGAGACGACCGTTAGACCCGATGACGTGTTTCTGCAGCTGAACTTAGCTAGCCAACGTCGCCATTATATCGCCTACAAGCGTGATCGGTGATTTCTATTGGAGAAGCAGTTTCTGCCTATGTTCATACTGTACAGTCTTTGGTGGAAGTCACGGGACCAAAACAGCAGAGAAGTTGAGCCTCGCTCTTCAATGCTCTTAGTTGTTGCGGAATTTACCCACTATTCGGGCCCTATAAAATCTGCGATGCGGAGAACGCGGACGGAATCACGGAATCCAGACATTAACACGGAATTCAACAATATTCCAAAATCTATTGGACTTAGTAGGGTATCAAATAAATGTATAGAAAATTAAGTAATTTGATCAAGTTTATCATAAGAAATGAACACAATGCATCAGTGATTCGTATTTCCTGAACTTTCTGAAGAGGCAATGAGAATTCCCCCCGATGATGCTAATGAAAAGTTATCTAGTAGATGGAAAGGCTTTCTCAATTAAATGTTAACTACAAAGTAGCCCATGCTTGCTTACCTAGCAGAATGATCATGATTTTTTGTATCAATCCATTGGGTATTTATTTTGCAAACTCTACCATACGTGCGCACAAAAACACAGCTAAACAACAGCATCTTGCTAGGTGAGCACTGGAATTATACACACAAATCTAAATTTCTTTTTTTTTAACCAGACCTCAAAAGTGGTCTCCTAATATGGTATAAGATTGTTGTGGACTTAAAACATCCAATTTAGTTGTTTTTCTATTAATAAAGTGTGATTTTGAGAGCGAAAAAACTGGGGAAAACTGAAACCTGGAAAAACTAAAACGGAGAAAACATAAATTTGGGAAAAAATTAACGGAATCAGGCAAACAATAAAACAGATTTTATAGGGCCCTACACTATCCCGTTTACTTTGTGCATCTACGTCATATCACTGAGTCTACCTTTAACAAAAACGTGTTATGGTAAAGATTGACTGTTGGACAGGTAAATGTATACCAGTGTAATCGCTGTAATCGCACCTTTGGCAGTGATTACAGCCTCAAGTCTTCTTGTGCATGACACTACAAGCTTGGCACACCTGTATTTGGGGAGTTTCTCCCATTCTTCTCTGCAGATCCTCTCAAGCTCTGTCAGGTTGGATGGGGAGCGTCGCTGCACAGCTATTTCCAGGTCTCTCCAGAGATGTTCGATCGGGTTCAAGTCCAGGCTCTGGCTGGGCCACTCAAGGACATTCAGAGACTTGTCCCGAAGCCACTCCTGCGTTGTCTTGGTTGTGTGCTTAGGGTCATTGTCCTGTTGGAAGATGAACCTTCGCCCCAGTCTGAGGTCCTGAGTGCTCTGGAGCAGGTTTTCATCAAGGATCTCTCTGTACTTTGCTCCGTTCGTCTTTCCCTCGATCCTGACTAGTCTCCCAGTCCCTGCCGCTGAAAAACATCCCCACAGCATGATGCTGCCACCATCATGCTTCACCGTAGGGATGGTGCCAGGTTTTCTCCAGACTTGACGCTTGGCATTCAGGTCAAAGAGTTCAATCTTGGTTTCATCAGACCAGAGAATCTTGTTTCTCATGGTCTGAGAGTCCTTTAGGTGCCTTTCGGCAAACTCCAAGCGGGCTTTCATGTGCCTTTTACTGAGGAGTAGCTTCCGTCTGGCCACTCTACCATAAAGGACTGATTGGTGGAGTGCTGCAGAGATGGTTGTCCTTCTGGAAGGTTCTCCCATCTCCACAGAGGAACTCTGGAGCTCTGTCAGAGTGACCATCGGGTTCTTGGTCACCTCCATGACCAAGGCCCTTTTCTCCCGATTGCTCAGTTTGGCCGGGCGGCCAGCTCTAGGAAGAGTCTAGGTGGTTCCAATCTTCTTCCATTTAAGAATGATGGAGGCCATTGTGTTCTTGGGGACCTTCAATGCTGCAGAAATGTTTTGGTACCCTTCCCCAGATCTGTGCCTCGACACAATCCTGTCTCGGAGCTCTACGGACAATTCCTTCCACCTCATGGCTTGGTTTTTGCTCTGACATGCACTGTCAACTGTGGGACCTTATATAGACAGGTGTGTGCCTTTGCAAATCATGTCTAATCAATTGAATTTACCACAGGTGGACTCCAATCATGTTGTAGAAAAGCTCAAAGACGATCAATGTAAACAGGATGAACCTGAGCTCAATTTTGAGTCTCATAACAAAGGGTCTTTTATTTTTTATACATTTGCAAACATTTCTAAAATCCTATTATCACTTTCTCATTATGGGGTATTGTGTGTAGATTGATGAGGAAAACAATTTATTTAATCAATTTTAAAATAAGGCTGTAATGTAACAAAATGTGGAAAAAGTCAAGGGGTCTGAATACTTTCCGAATGCACTGTACATGTATTATCCACATCAAAGGGCAGGCAGTAAATAAAATGCAGGCCTGTTCCTGTTGCACTGTGAACTGATATGCATGCTCAGATTTGCATACCTGAGCGATGAGGGAGAGACGTGCCTATACGGGTGTGAGTGTGTATCAAAGTGGGAAGGAGGCCAAAGGAGACAGAGGAGCAGTGGATGAGGGAGTGAGAGGGGGTGTGAGAGAAAAGGTTGAGGGTTCTTCCAGGCTAACTCCAGCCACCCAAGTCATAGACTGTTCTCTCTGCTACCGCACGGCAAGCGATACCGGAGCGCCAAGTCTGGGACCAAAAGGCTCCTGAACAGCTTTTACCCCCAAGCCATAAGACTGCAGAACAGTTAATCCAATGGCTACCCGGACTATTTGCATTGACACCCTTTCTATTTGCACTGACTCTCTTGCACAGGCTCTATGCACATACTCACTGGACTCTACCCACACACTCACACATACTACAGTGACACACCAAAACACACAGACACACTTTCACACTCTTCACATATGTACATATTACGTCAATTACCTCAACTACCTCGTACCCCTGCACATTGACTCGGTACCGGTACTCTTTGTATATAGTCTCGTTATTGTTATGTTATTGTGTTACTATTTCCTTTTTTGCAATTTTTTCTTAAATCTTTAACTCTGCATTGTTGGGAAAGTAACCATTTCCCGGTAAAGTCTACACCTGTTGTATTGACAGTGTCACTTGATAGTGACTGAGTGTTGAGGGCTGAACCACCATCCCGACTTCTAGCTAGATCATAATTATTAGGTTAGGGCAGGAGTTTAGCGTAATAAGGAAATGATCTGTACTTTAGGACAGAGGGGGAATTCTGCTGGTACAGTACAAACCACGTGTTCCTTCCTAGAAACACTTATCTACAATTACTGGAGAGATTAGATTAAGGCTGGTCGAAGCCTGTCTCTACGTTTTTTCCATGAACATCATCGGTTAAGAGTGATTATGTCTACTTTATGTCCACCCCACCATTTTCTGCTATTAGAGCACAGATCTGAGAGCACAACTGATTTGTTTGTAATGTTCACAACTGAAGAGCACTTTCATGCTGACTCAAAGACTTATTAGTAGTGGAGGTGGGGGTACGAGGAGTCCTGATGAGTGGCCAGTAATGTACATGATGCCACAGACCCCTGATACCTTCCTCAATGCAAACCAATTAGGTATCCTCAGGACCCTATCAAAACACAGCTGAATGATACATTCTGCTATAACGATCACCAGCAAACAGCAATTCAAGACACACAGGTAGTTTCCCGGACACAGATTAAGCCTAGTCCAAGACTAAAAAGCACTTTCTATGAAGAATCTCCTTTGAGCATGCTTTTTAGACACTCTTATCCAGAGCGATTTACAGGAGCAACTAGGGTTAAGTGCCATGCTCAAGGGCACTTTGACAGATTTTTCACCTAGTCGGCTTAGGGATTCGAACCAGCGACGTTTCGGTTACCGGCCTAACTCTCTCAAACACGACGCTACCTGCTGTCTCTTTTAATCTAGGACTAGGCTTAATCTGTGTCCGGGTAACCAGTTCTCAGACCCACAGCATGTAATCCTACTAAGACTCATAGCAGCATCTATTTAAATTCTCTACTCACCTCATAGCCATATTGCTCCCATCGATCACTATGGGTTTCAGGTCATCTCCCTCCTCACTGGCTGCATCCTCCCTGCTGGGTGGAGGGGTGAGGGGCAGGCTACTAAGGGTCTCCCCTCGGGCCATCAGGACAGACATGGTAGTTGGGGCTACCTCCTTCTCCATCCCTTCTGGACTGGCTCCAGTCCGCACCAGCTCCCCCAGAATCCTGTTAGTGTCTGTGTTCAGGCCAAACTTCTGCAGCACGGTCTGGACCTGCGCTGGGGAGTAGCCCAGTTTACGGTAGAAGTCCAGCTGAGCCTCTCCAGGATCTGTGGCGGTTTTGCCGCTCTCCTCTGGGGCAGAGCTTTGGGTGCCACTCGGGTGCATTCTCTCACAGATGGGATAGGGTGGATGATGATTGTGGAAGGCAGGCAGAGCAGAGAGCCATCCGGCTGTGTCGTGGGTCTCTGTGGGGCTCAGACGGGCTGTGTAGGAGAATTCATTCCATGGGAAGACCTCTGCGACTGGGCACAGCTTTGGGATGGGACTGACTTCTATGTTCATCTCTCTCTCTCTCTCTCTCTCTCTCTCGCTCCCCTTCGGGCAGTGCTAATATGTCACACCTGTTTAAAAAAACATTATTGTTTTGGTTGTGTGAAGTGGTATTAAAAATTGTTTCCTCGATCATATCTCATAAATATCACAATGTGCGTTGTCATTTAGATTAACAATACTACAATCATTTTCTGGCTGTCTGACGACAGATCACATCTTACTTTGGTATTGACATTGACATCTGTATTAGTTCTCACCAAAAATACCATGAATAATCAGTTCATTTTATAGTTGTTACAAAATACTAATAATCAGTGGTCATGGATTAACAGCCCCCCTTGGCTACTCTATAAACATGATCAGGATAATGAAATTCCTAAAGTAAAGTTACATTAATTGTCCCTTTTGAACTGTTGATGACAACTGCTCATGTCTGTTAGTATCATTGAATGGAGCCTAAATAAAATGTGCATAAATTATCTATTGTATTCCTTCATACTGTACATTTACAGTGGCCTTGTTTTGGTCAGAAAATACGTATGTTATTGATCTAGTTCTACTGTACTATACCTCGACTAGGCTACACTCCTATTCAATGGATAACGGCGATTATTGATTAAGTCGGCCTATAGTGTCTTAGTTAATTGTATCATTGCCTCCTATAATGTCTATTGTCGACCACTCCAGTATTTTCAGAAAAATAAATACATTTCCGGTGTTCATTCCCAGAGACATTGTCAGCGAGATGTTAAATGTATCCAACCAACCTGAGTTTGCCTTCTTTGATTTGTTCCGCAGTTCCGCAAGTTAGTTTTGGAAAATCTAAAAGTCTGACTTCATGAGCTTTTGACACCGTGTTCTGGTCCAATTTTGGACTGATACGGTACTCCTTAGTCCAAGGACAGTCCATGTTCTGTTTAAAGGGCGGATTGGCTCTGAAACAGCCAAATACTCCATCTAAACGTGAATCGATTCTCAATTGCGATACGGTTCAATAAACATAAATCCCTCTACTTTCATATCACATCTAAATAAATACAAAAATACACACTTACTGTACACTGTGTTAACCGATTTTAACACAATTGTAGCTGATGTTATTTTTCAGTGACAACACGTTTGTGGCATCTGTCTTCCGTTTACATACAGATGTTTTGAGTCCACTCACTGCTTCCTTGACAAGCGCTGTAATTTGGCAGTGTGGGAACCCTACCCCTATAAAGGTGTGTATCAATTTAACCTTTATTTGTATTTTTATTATCTCTTTCAAAACCGTACCGCAAGCGATGCGTGTTTATGTTCAGACCGAGCGTCGCGGCTCTTAACAAAACTCCACCATACAGAATACACCTCAATGATCAAGGGCTACATGTTGCCAAATAAGAAACGCAGTAAACCCGTCAATGTAGTTAGCCTACTTACCAGTAATTTATAGTCCAACTGTTTCGGCACTTCATTTTTATATGTTCGTGTTGTTATCCATGTCAAATGTGTTGCTGTCTGTGAGCAGTGTCCCCGTGGACAGTAGGCTACACCATCAAATATTAGAGGCGATGACATCATAGTCATACGCTTCAAACTCTGGGTTTTCCCGCTTGATGACCAATGTCCGCGGGACAGAGAACTGGCTATGACGGAAGATGGCGGAATCTGAGGTTTTGTTTGACACTGCTAGTGAGTCAAGTGAAGCTAATAGTACAGAAGGTGAGAATGAGTGGGTTACAGTGGCGAAGAAAAAGGGAAACTGTAACTCAGTAGCTGTAGCTCAGCTGGTAGAGCACGGCGCTTGTAACGCCAAGGTAGTGGGTTCGATCCCCGGGACCACCCATACACACAAAAACAAAACAAAAAAAGCGTCTGCTAAATGGCATATTATATATTATATTATAAGTGTAATAGTGCGTCAATTCAAGTCTGGTATTGGAATGAAAGACATCATTGAAGTTATTGCAAATCAAGCTAAGTTTATTAAATGCAAATGTAAAAATGATAAGTATGAGGGTTCGTATACAGGCTCACTGATGCACCACGCAGGGAGATCAGAGAACTTGCGGCTGTCTCACATGTTCTTCCTTAAATACCCTTGACAGAGATAGTTCCTGTTTCTGAACAGGCCTGTCAGAGCAGAGGCTGGGCGTGGTTTAGACTTGCCGCCTGTTCGTTGGCGCGCGGGTTGGTCCCAACCCCTAGGCGCTGAATTGCCAGGCCTAGTTCTGTCTCTGGTAGATGTCCTCAAATTGATGTCCTTAATCAGCCCTGTTTCATAGCAACTTTACTCCTTGTTCTGTTCTTTTTAGTAAAACCACAGAGATACGGCCTATCGTGACTTAACAGCTGATAACTCCACTGTCAGTTAGTCACACTCACCGCTTCCTTGAGTAGAATATCTATACTCTGGGTATCTGATATTGAAACACCAACAGTTTCTGTCCAACGGTTAAATTCTTGTATTTCAACAAACAAGTTATCTGATATTGAGACACCAATTTCCATCCAAAGGTTAAATTCTTGTATTTCAACAATCAAATTAAATCCCAACAATCCCCCTTTTCACACCTGCTAGGTGTGATTAGCAAGCTTTAAAAAAGTGGGAACTTTTAGAGTCCCCCTTTTGACACCCCCAAAGGTGTCACATACCAAAAATCATCACAAAAATGAGGAAAAAATATAACACACCAATTCAATTAAAAATCTGTAAGTAGTAGAAAACCATCAAGTCCTCCCCTACACCTAACATGTACTGAGTTGGCTACCAGCCACCCAGGAATCCTTTACCTTCACATCAGGAGGAACAACAATTACAGTGGAAAAAATATAAAAATGTTTACTTTGTATCAGCCAAACAGTGATATATGTTTTTAGGCAAACCATGGATCGTTCAGCTTGGTCTCAGGGTCAGCAGCAGACTCTTCTTCGTGGGCCTGTAGCAATGGCATCATGCCCGAAACCTGCACGACGTCTACTACTGACTTCCTGAGGCAAGGGACGATACACGCAGAACAGCACATTAACAGTAAAAACACAAGTATTAGGGTCAGGAATCCAGTAACCACCATAGATGTATACTCACCGAACCAGCCACCCATCCAGGAGAACAGCCCACCACTCCCTACACCAGCCATACCTGTCATTTCAGCTGACAGTTTGTCCAGGCCAACCAGGGCCTTTGTGATGCTTCCATCAGGACTAGTATTGTTAGGAATAAACGTACAGCATTGTTCCCCAAACATTATACATACTCCTCCCTGGTTGGCAAGCATCATATCAAGCGCTAACCTGTTCTGTCTGGCAACCCTGGAAGTGGCTTCTAGTTGTTCTGACATTCCAGTCAGAGTGATGCGGGTGTAGTTAACAAAACGCTGTTGATTATAGTAAATGTAATTTATCCAAGACCGTTGTTTGGCAGCATCAATAGCAGGACCTATAATAGGCAATAAGTGCCATAAGCCATCATTCCTGTTAAGTGCCTGGAATTGTAATGGCACTACCACGGGCACACCCAGTATATTGGTGCCAATATCCTCTCCTGCTGACCATGGAGCACTACGCCTTACTCTTCTCGACTCCCTGTCGGGAGTTTTTTGAGAAATACCCAAAAGCTGGTCTGAGGAAACATCAATAATGGTCAGAGGTACAATTAAACTTGCCAGTGCACATGTGCCCTTCCAATCCCCCTCTAGGATTGGAGACAGCCTTCTATTAGGGCCACAGATCCACCAGACATCAGCTACTCCCTTTGTCTGGTTCTTGCCTTCTACAGGCCACGTGCTGTTCATAGTTATGTTTACTACACAGTCCCCAGGTGGCAGCCCACCATAATTCTTTCCCGCACCTGTCCCCGTGATACAACTGTAATTACCCCCATAAGCTTTAACACCTGCCGGTGCTTTCTGTGGGGGAACCTCGGGGAAAATTAAACTTAAGGTCTTGCACAGGGTTGTGTTTGGCGCTGAGTGATAGAACTCTTCTAATATGCACTGCCATCCTTCCCCTTCTCCTAAGGAGAATGGGTGGGTTGCCAACCCAGGTCTCGCATGACCACAAACAACACAATCCTGTCTTCCCAATGTCCTAGCAGTATACCTCATGTATGCCAACCAGGTGTTATCATTCCCTCCATAGCCAGTCTCTGTTCCCAGCTGATCGCTGTCCGTTATATCCCTAACATTAATTACCTGTACAGGATCTGATTCCCTAGTGGGCCGAGTCTGAGTCGGTTCTGGAGTGGTGGTGCCGTTCAACTGGGTCTGTTTGTCCCTCCTCGCAGGTTTAGGCGTAACTGCAAGGGTGAACACCCCCATGGTGTCTGGTCCGGATCGCACTGCTGCTAGGGTGTACACCCCTGCATCTATTAGTTTAATGTCTTGGATGGTTAGCAGAATTTCATCGCCTTTACAAGCACCCCCTCTGGGTCTCTGCACACCCTTTATTATTGAAAACCTTCCCGCTTTAGAAGCGTCTTTTAATGCATATGGATAACCCCTTCTCCATTCCCAAAATGTGCCAACATTTGTGATCACATAATCCCAGTATGGACACCATTTACCTTCACATAGATAAATGTCCCTTTGCAATACATATGGATATAGTTTGTTGCAGTTATCCTTCTGATTGTAAATGCAACCTATGTCCCCAGTTCCACTAGCCCTATTTCTCCATGACCAAATTTTACATGGTTCCAGGGACACCACTTGAGATTCCCCTTCCTGTAAGGTAATGACTATGTTATGGTATTGGGTGGGGGCTGTGAACACTACTTCCCCTAAGCTCAACCCCACTACTAACCACAACATCAACATCACTTCCCTTCTGTTGCTAAGTCCTGTTGTACCTGATCTAGAGTTCTCCCCGGAGTTATATCTTTAGCACAATGTGTCCTGTGATACCATACGTATTTCTTGTCTGTGTTTACCCTCAGTGAATGGCTTGATACCTCTTTCACCTGGTATGGGCCTCCCCACCTTGGTTCTGTCCACTTCCTCGAATGCACTTTCACCCTCACCCAGTCCCCGACCAGGATGTCTCTGTTTTCGTCAGTGGTCTCGACAGCAGGCGTACGTATCTCCACCACCTGTTTGGACAGTCTGTCAACAAGAGAGGTTAGCTCCTGCATGTAGTCTGTGTATCTGATCTTTGCAATATCTAACCTAGGCATACTTAAGTTGTCTGCTGGTGGGCCTGGCATTCTACGCCCTGTCATAAGTTCATGTGGGGTCAAATGTGTATCCGACCCAGGTGAGTTCCTCATTGACATTAAAGCAAGAGGAAGGGCATCTATCCATTTTAGTTTGGTCCCTGCCATAATTTTTGCCATTTTTCGTTTCAATGTCTGGTTAGCCCTTTCAACAAGGCCCTGAGATTGAGGGTGATAGACTGACCCAAACTTATGTGTAATCCCCAAGGCCTGCTCTACCTCTCTCAGGTGCTTGTTCTTGAAATGGGTGCCATTGTCGGAGCGGATCATTCTAGGGACTCCGAACCTAGGGATGAGATCTCTTCTCAACCATTTCACCACGGCCTTGGCGTCTTCTTTAGCTGTGGGGATGGCTTCCACCCACCTGGTGAATCTGTCGACCATTACCAACAGGTATCTTTTTCCTTCTACTCTGTTATCTTGTCCCATGTCTGTAGAATATATGCAAATGTCCTGGAATGGTGCATCAGGTATTGGGAAACTGCCTATCACTGCTCCCAGTGATATTTTGTTGTTATATTGTTTGCATACCTCACAACTTTCTGAAGTCTCTCTTGCTAGGTCCATCATGTGAGGGTGCCACCATGCTTTCTCTACTAACTTTGCAACACTCTTCCATCCTCCATGGGCCTTCTCATGTTCTTCCCTTAAGATGGACCTGAGGAGTTTAGCTGGTCCCACTGTTTTCCCTGAGTGAGACCTCCAGATCCCATGATGATCTTGTCTTGCTCCTTGTCTGCTCCATATGTTCTGCTCATAGACACCTGCTGCTTCTTGAAGCTGTCTTACTGTATCCGCAGTTAGTTCTTCCTGTCCCTGAGAAGCTCGCAGTACCATCTGTTGGGCAGTATATCCTCCTGCATCCTTTGCCACTTGATCTGCTCGATCATTTCCTCTGCGCACACTGGTGGTTTCTTTACTGTGTCCTTTGCACTTCATTATTGCCACGCGTTTGGGGAGTTGAATAGCATCAATTAACTTCTGTACTTCAACCTTGTGCTTAATGGGCTCGTTTGAGCTGGTCAGATATCCTCTTCTCATCCACTGTGGTCCATCGATGTGTGCAATTCCGTGTGCATAGGCAGAGTCCGTGTAGATGTCTACGTCCTTTCCTTCGCTCAGCTGCAGGGCTCTTCTCAAAGCTCTAAGCTCTGCCAGTTGTGCTGAGCTCTCGTTGGGTTCCAGCTTTTTTGCTTCCATAACTTCATGATTTCCTTCCTTGTCTTGTTTTACCACAGCGTACGCAGCAATATTTCCTTCAGTTGGTTCCCTTGACCTGTAGCAGCAACCATCTGTGAACAGGGTTATCTTGTTGCCTTCTAGAGGCGAGTTCTGCAGGTCCATTCGAACCTTGAGTTGTTTGGCCGCTCTGTTCTCACACACATGTGGTTCTCCCTGTCCCATGCCATCTGTCATGTTGGTTGTGGTTGTATATGTGATGTGTTTTGCGGTGATGGCTTTGGTTATACTGGATTTTCTTTTGCTGGACAGTGTGAAAAGTTTGGAACCAATGAAGGCTGTCACCCCATGGTCTGTGTTAATTTCCAGAGGGTGCCTCATTACAATGTGAGCGGTTTTGCTAACCGCTTTGGCAATGGCTGCTAGGTGTCTAGCACAGTCAGTTTGGCCTATCTCAATGTTGTCCAATTTAGCGCTGTAGTAGTGTAACACTCTCCTCTCCCCCGTTTGTTTCTGATATAGAATGGAGTGTACATAACCATTTGATTCAGAAACATCAAGACAAAATGGGGTGGTGTAGTCCGGTAGAGACAACGCTTCAGCCTGGGCCAAGGTCTGTTTCAACTGGATAAAGGCTGCTTCAGCGTCTGGAGTCCACTTAAGGACAGCTGTGAGGTTTCTGTTGCCTGCTTCTCTCAAGATTGCCCTCAGTGGTTCCACTTTAAGACAATACTCTGGTATATGCGTCCTGCTATATCCAGTGAGGCCAAGAAATGACAATAGATGCTGCACGGTGGTAGGTTTTGGGTGTTCCAGGATTGATGTTCTCTGTGCTGTGGAGACAGCCTGTCCTTTTCCTGATAGTACTCTCCCCAGGAACTGTACGCTTCTTCTGCAGCATTGTACTTTCTCCTTTTTTACTTTGTACCCCTTCTCAGCAACCAAGAGGAGGAGTGCTTTGGTGGCCTGTAAGCAGGATTCAGCAGTTGGTGCCGCCAACAGGAGATCATCAACATATTGAAGCAATGTCACCCCTTCAGGTAATGTTAGTTCTTCCAGGTGATTTTTCAGGATGTCGTTAAAGATTCCAGGGGAATCACGATATCCTTGTGGGAGACGCGAGTAGGTGTACTGCTGCCCTCTGTAGGTAAATGCAAAGAGGGGTTGTGATTCGGGATGTAAGGGAATGCAGAAGAATGCATTAGCCAAGTCTATCACTGTGAACCAGTCGTGCGTAGGGGAAATGTTTTGCAGCGCGAGATATGGGTCTGGCACGGGCCTAACGTCCGGCACTGTTACCTCATTGATAGGTCTGAAGTCCTGCACCATCCTCCACTTCCCAGTATCCCCCTTCTTCACTGGTAGGATTGGCGTGTTCCATTTTGAAGAGGTTGGATATATCACTTGTCCTTTCAGAAGTCCCGATATGGTAGGTTCAATTCCTCTAGTCTTTTCTTCGCTGAGAGGGTATTGCCGTTTGTTCACTGGTATTGATAGTTCACTGTCTTCTCTGATTGAGACTAGCACCGGTTCAATATTTACTAAACCGACATCTTCAGCAGTTAGAGTCCATAGTTGTTCTGGTAACTGGTTGAAGATATTCACCGTGTCTGGGTGGTCAGTCATTTCTCTTCCATAGTATCAAGACCTTCTCACAATTTCTGGTTTCCCGATGTCCTCCACGTTCAGCTGAACCCTCCAGACGGGGTTACCATCCATCACAGAGGTCTTTAACCTGCAACAGGTGGTGTCATTCCACTTCAGGCAACTTGCCTTTTTTACTGCTGGACCCAGTGATCTTGCCTCATAGCCGAATCCTACTAGGAGGGTCACATGTGGAGCGGAGTCGTGGGGTAGTGCATACCAATTTTCTGTCAGTATTACGTCTCCATCCATCACCATACAGCTGGTTGCTACTCCTAAGTATATACATGTGATTGCTCGTCACAGTTGGCCTTCTGTCTTCCATTTCTTCCTCCCAGGCTTCGTGGTATGCTTCGTCTAAGTCTCTGGTGTAATTCATTGTGACATGAGGTGGATCCTCAGGGGGACAATAGGCATTCAGGGTTTGTATCCATGCTTTCCAAAACTGAAACTCCCTACACACTCTGGGGGCATCGGGGTCGGTGTCAATCAGTTTTAGCCAGTACACATATGCTTCCTCCTCTCCAAATTCCTCTTCCTCTGGGTGCGTTCCCATATATAGCATTCTAGGAGGGTCAGAGGTTTGCTTCATGAGTATTGGCATGAGGTCCTGGATAGGTGTTATTGAAGCATGAAGTTCCTCTTGGTTGCAGTATATGCTGCATTCCAGCTTGGAGAGCAAATCCCTTCCCATTAACCCTACTGAGCATTCTGGATTGTAGAGGAATTGGTGGGTTACCTGCAGGTCGTCCCACACGACTTCCAATGGAACTGTATATGGCTTTCTCATAATTTTCCCAGAAACCCCAGAGAAAGCTTGTGTCTTGGTGGTGAGTGGATATGATGTTTGTACAGAAGACCAAGTGCATCCTGTATCAATCAACATATTCTGTTTTCTTCCCCCAATTAAGCATGACACCACCGGCTCTGTTCCTGGTGGGAACGAATAGATGTTGGAGGTGAGGTCATACCAGGTCTCTGGGCAGCTTCATTGATAATCAGGTTGGGGATTTACCCCCAACCAGGACATGCTTGGCAGGAGCGCAGCGTTTGGCACAGATTGGTTTTGGTCAGGGTATGGCTGCCTGGGCTGTGGAACAAAAATCCCAGGAGCAAATTGTGCCGATGGGGGGTTCCCTCCTTGCCAGCCTCCTCGCCCCTGGGGTTGTTGCATTTGTCTCCTAGATTGCCCATAGCCCCTACCTCTTCTGGGTCCATTCCACTGTTGGTTTTGTGTTTGTCGACAATGCCTTGCAAAATGTCCTGGTTGTCCGCAGGCGTAACACACCCTGGAGTTGTCATATCCCCCATCTGTAGGGCTGTATTTTTGTTGGGGAATGTGTACGTATGTTCCCCCAGGACCCATAGGTCCCATCATCGCTGGTGTCATCAGCCCGGTCATTGCCTGTACCACAGCTGCCACTGTAGCCCCCACTTCTCCTGTTGGTGGGGTGGCTTGTTGAGGGGTGCTGGTCACTACCATTTGTTTTCCTGGTTTGTCATCGGCCAGCTGTTTCTTCAAAACCTTCTTCTGTAATTGTTTTATTTCATCTTCCTCCTTTCTCTTTCCTTCTCTGTACCTTTCCACATGATGTTGGGTTATCTCAGTAAATTCTGGGATGGATTTTGCTGTGAGTCCCACAACCTTATCCAGTTCCCCTCTTGTGTGCTCAGGGAGTCCTCCCATGCAGCTAGCCAAGAACAGGTGACTCATGGTGTTGTTGGTGAGTTCCTCATTCCATGCTTGTCTCCACAGGCCCTTTGCCCTTTTCATGTAGGCTGGGATGGTTTCATCATCATTCAGGGTCAGTGTCCTCATGAGTTCTGGTCTTGGCTGGGTGGGATACTTCCTTCTGACCGCATCCCATATGGCAGCTCGATAGTGATCGAAACCAGTGGCTGATCCCACCGTCCCTCTGAGGCCTGCTTGCGTGAGTATCTCTTTGCATTCATGATCACCCATACACCTGTTCATTACTGCCACCATATCTCCTATGGTGAGTTCATCCGCTGCGGTGAGGCTCTCAAAAGCTTTTACCCATCTGTGTCCTGATTCTTCAGGGTGGGGAAGGCTGTCCACTAGGGACTGCACATCTCTATGTGCCCATGGTTTGTAGATGGTAGTCCCCCCTGGGACGTCTCTTAGAGGGTATTGGCCTCCCCACTCCTCTCTTTTTTCCTTAGCTTTACTCCGTGTGTTGCCAGCTGGGCCTTCCCAGGTGCCTTCTTTGAGAAACCCCGTCATTCCTCCCTCAAAGACTCCTGTTACGAATTTTCTTGGTTTTGATTTATCCTCCTCACTATCCTCCCCGTCTCCTAGATTGATACAGTGTCCCCTTGGTGGGAGTCCTCGTTCATCCCATCCTCGCTCACTTTCTTTTATTTCCTCCTCCAATCTGAGCAGTATCCCCTCCCTCTGTCTCACTTCCTCTTCTATTTTCTTCAGTTCTTCTCGTCGTTTCTCCTCTTCCCTTCGGCAGTGTCTCCAGTTCTCTTCTCCTCTGTCTCCTCTGCTTATAGTAGACAAGCCTCCCCATTCTTCTTCTCTTCTCTCTTCATTGGTACTTTCTCTCTCTTCTTCACCTTCTTCTTCCCTTCCGCTCCCACTTCCCTTCAGTCGGCTCAATTCCGCCACTCCTTTATTCAGATTAGCTACTGCTTCCAATAGAGCACTTACTTCCTCCCTTCTATCTCTACGATTCACCCACACCCCTTTCTCTCCTTTATCTGTTCTGTGTTGATAGCTGATTTTTCCAGCAACATCGATCACGGGTGCCATTGTTTTTAGGGGCATCTCATAAGGTGGTGGAGCCGTGGGAAGTGCGGGATATAGTCGTGAACAGCCTCTTTCATCTGACATTTTCTTCAGTTTTTCAAGCATCGCCAGTCCGATTCTCTCTTTTATTCGGGTTTTTCTCCATTGCGTCTTTGGTCTTCCCACTCCTGGATTCTCCTCCACTTTTCCAGTCCTCTTCTGTTTTTCGTGTGGTTCTTCTCATTGCTTCTAATATTGCTTTTGGTTCCCCCTGCATAGGGATACCGTCCCTTGCATGTATCGAACCATCAGTCAGCCATTTTTTGTACAATTTTTCTCCTCTTCTTTTCCACTCCTTACCATCCTTTCCCCCATTAACTTCTAAGGTTGATTAAAAAAATTTCAATGTTGTTTCTGCCATTCTTATTAGTGTTTGTTATGCGTAATTAAATTCACGCCACTAGACTATGTAATCGTTCGTTTTGTCTGTAGGATATATGTTAATTTTTATATTACTATTTACTAGGATAATTTTATCTTGTTGTCATAATTTTAGTCACTTATCACAATTCTATACAGTAATAACATTCAACACATACAATATATGAACACAGTTATTATTCCTAATTATTTTGCACGCTTATTGGGTAGTCCCAATAGACAGCGTATTATACTGGCTACAACCACATATAATTTCCAATTCAGTTTATATAGGCTCCAACCATATGTAACTAATTTTGATCGTCTATATAATCACAGGGCTCCAACTCTTGTGAGTTAAACTTAATCACATATATAAACAGTTATTTATCTCGTGTTGGTTCCAACCACACACGGTAACTTCTAAAAACTACAGGGCTTCAAACCCTTTTTTCTCTCGTGCTGGCTACAACCATACACGGTAAAAAGCATTAATTATACAGGCTACAACCATATATAATTAGGCCATGGCTTTAACCCACATATTTATCAACCAATTTGCATTTGTCAATTAGTATAATACATTTAGTTAATTTTAATGTATTAAATAGAATTCACTTACATCAAACGGGTGTTTCACAAAATAATTTGGATAATGCCAATATGCAGATTTCAGTTGTATAACAATAGGTATCTGCTTACCTTTTATAGAAGACCGGTCTCTTTGTGAAACACACCGTCCGACGACAGCGATGTCCAATGGGCTGGACGAATCCCAGCGAAGTTCCGCTACCAGATCACGTCGGGGTCACCAATTGTAATAGTGCGTCAATTCAAGTCTGGTATTGGAATGAAAGACATCATTGAAGTTATTGCAAATCAAGCTAAGTTTATTAAATGCAAATGTATAAATGATAAGTATGAGGGTTCGTATACTGATGCACCACGCAGGGAGATCAGAGAACTGGCGGCTGTCTCACATGTTCTTCCTTAAATACCTTTGACAGAGATAGTTCCTGTTTCTGAACAGGCCTGTCAGAGCAGAGGCTGGGCGTGGTTTAGACTTGCCGCCTGTTCGTTGGCGCGCGGGTTGGTCCCAACCCCTAGGCGCTGAATTGCCAGGCGTAGTTCTGTCTCTGGTAGATGTCCTCAAATTGATGTCCTTAATCAGCCCTGTTTCATAGCAACTTTACTCCTTGTTCTGTTCTTTTTAGTAAAACCACAGAGATACGGCCTATCGTGACTTAACAGCTGATAACTCCACTGTCAGTTAGTCACACTCACCGCTTCCTTGAGTAGAATATCTATACTCTGGGTATCTGATATTGAAACACCAACAGTTTCTGTCCAAAGGTTAAATTCTTGTATTTCAACAAACAAGTTATCTGATATTGAGACACCAATTTCCATCCAAAGGTTAAATTCTTGTATTTCAACAATCAAATTAAATCCCAACATAAGTGAAGCTATTTTGGAAAATAGGAAACCACTAGACTCGTTTTTAGTCGGAATCAGGGTTTTGGATCAATGCTTTTTGGGAAATCCGTTTAACGTCTCCAGGAGTATCTGGAATGTGTTGGAGGAAATTGTGGAGTCGGTGAGAGTCACAAGAAGTGGTCTTACTTTGTTGTTTTGTGTGTCTGCGGAGCAGAAGAAGCGACTTTTAAGACTCAAAAAGATATTGGAATGGAATATTTCCTGCATGGATTTTTGTAGCAGGGCACCTATCAAGGGGGTTATTTCTGGGGTGGCGCAAGAAATAAAGGCAGAGGATATAACTGAAGACATTGATGGAGTGCAGTGGCGACCCGTAATTCAGGGTAATTTTAGGTTAAAAAAACGTTATTTTGGCATTAATAGTGTCATATCAGTTTGCAAACAATGTAAATATATATACAGTGGGGAGAACAAGTATTTGATACACTGCCGATTTTGAAGGTTTTCCTACTTACAAAGCATGTAGAGGTCTGTAATTTTTATCATAGGTACACTTCAACTGTGAGAGACTGAATCTAAAACAAAAATCCAGAAAATCACATTGTATGATTTTTAAGTAATTCATTTACATTTTATTGCATGACAT